GAGGCAGGGATTTTATCTCAATAATGGCAAGGAATACAAGGGCCATTATCAACATCCTCAAAACTTGACTCTGAAACGATCAGAGTCAGAAAGACCTGTGTTCAAACTTGACCTCAGACACTTAGTAGATGTGTGACTTTGATAAAGTCACTGTACCCGTCTGCCTCAGTTTCTTCATCTGCAAAATGGGGATAATAACAGCATCTCTTTTACTGGATTGTTGTGACGATAAACAGATATTTATGAAGTGCTTAGCACAGTGCCTGGAGCATGGTAGGCACTTAATAAATTCTTATTCCCTTTCCCTTCCCCCCCATCCCCAATATGTCTTGGATTATTGGAGCTTGAGGCCTGGGAGATGTTTTTAAATATTAGAAAAATCATATCAGCGGAATGCAAGTAAATGTCTTTTGCCCCTGTGACTTTCTCCCATATCCCTTCATGTAAAAAATCATTTGAAAGCTCTCTTTTGAACAATGAAACTTAAAATGCTAAAGCCCGATGCTAGGGATGTCTTCAGGGTTTAAGGATTGTTAAGTAGCATGATATTGAATTATGTTGTGGACCATGAGTTCGTTTGGCTACCTTACGGGACATTTTCATTTTAATGGAGTCTTTGTTTCCTGAACAATCCCAAATGCCTCTGTGTCTTGGGCCACTGGTAAGACGAGGCTTAGGTTGCAGCATGTCTCCATTGTCTTCCCCTATCAGTCCAGGACTGTTATGAAATATGTGTTTATCTTTGTTCTATTGGTAGCATTTATTTTTACATCACATTTCCAAATATCCCCCTTCTCCCCTGACCCACTGAGCTTTCTCTTGTACTAGAAAACCTAAGAGAGTTCAGCCAAAATGAAATATCAACCACCTCTACCAACATGTGAAACATTCCACAGTCATAGTCCCCCCCTTTCCAGGAAACTAAGGGCAGTTCATCTGGCATTCCTCCTCTAAGTCTAAGCTTAGACGGTCAAATCGGATAACCTCTGGCTTCATTTCACTGGGCTTTTTGCATTATTTTAATCTTTGTGCACTGTTGTCTTGGATCTGTTTACTCCACTCATCACCAGTTCATACAAATCTTCCCATGCTTCTCTGAATCACTAATATTCATTGTGTCTTACACCATAACATTATCCAGTTACATTCACTTACCCTACATTGTTTAGCCGCTACCCCAGCAAAAAGCACCCACTTTGTTTCTAGTTGTTGGAAAGCACAAAAGTGATGCTATGAATATGGGGGTATATATGGTCAGTCCTGTACTCAGTCTTCCAGCTCCCATCTTGTAATTTATTAAGATTCTTAGAGAGTCTTTGGGAATGGTCTGTTCCTAAAGTTCTCTCAAATAATTAACCAGTCATGGGTTTGGGAGAATCATTTTGTCATGAATGGTGTGACCCTAGAGAAGCCACCTTTCCTTTCTGCAGCTGGACTGGACGGCCTCTGAGCTCCCTTCTACCCTTTCCATCTATCATTCTATTATCCCCATTTCACAGATGAGGAAACTGAAATTGAGAAGTGAAATGAATTCCTCAGGGTTATGCAACAAGTAAAACATAGCCTTAACTCTTGCAAGATACCAAATAAAGTGAATCCCTCCACATTGTGCCCATCCCCAAAATAACGGCTTCTGGACATACGCCGCTGATACACAGCACGGACTCAGTTTCAACTCACAGCCTTTAATGCTCTTCTGCCATCATATTCTGCAGCCAGAAGTAGATTTCACCCTATGACCTCTGAATGTAGGGCAGCCAACAAGCATTTACTGAAGAAACTATTCCTTCGTGCACAGAATTTCCATTTATTGCGGGGACCCCAGGGGCATCTGGATCCTATTCTCAAATATAATTTCTATCTTGCCTGTAAAAAGAGCCTGTGCCTGACTCGTGTGGGAAAGCCCGAAAGCTGAGGGCAAATCATAACTGTTGTTGTTGTTCAGTCATTTCCATATACTCTCCATGTCCCCACTTGGGGTTTTCTTGGCAGAGATGCTGGAGTGGTTTGCTGTTGCCTTCTCCAGCTCATTTTACAGATGAGGAAACTGAAGCAAACATGGCAGAGTGACTTGCCCAGAGTCATATGGTTAGTAAGTGTCTGAGGCCAGATTTGAACTCAGGAAGATGTCTTCCTGACTTCAGGCCCAACGTTCTATGCGCTATGGCTCCACCTATACCTCAGGTGCAAGCAATGATTATAAATTATTATTGAATATGATGTCACAAGACCCAGGTTCAAATCCCACCTCTGATACTACCTTAGTCTAACTTAGCACAGCGCCTGGCATGTAGTACACACTCAATAAATGTTTATGGACTAGCTCTTTGAGACTTGGCAAGGCATGTAATCATTAAGCTGCTAGAATGCAGTAGTTACTATCCTACGTATTGAGGATACAAAAATAGAACCATGGCAATTCCTCAACTCAATAGGTTTCTGTTCAATCTGGGGACCTTCCAAGAGCAGTACAGAACTATGGTATTTTATGATCACGAAGCTCCTGAAATATATTAATTCACCCAATTCTCTCAGCATCTCTATGAAATCAGCAGAGCGGGTCTTACCGGCACAGTGTTCTCTGCACAACACCGTGATGTCTTTCTTGTTATTTAAGTGACCATTTTCTGCATATTTCACCCTTGTTTGTGGAGGAACTAGCAACCAACTACATTTTACAAGAATTTCCAGTCTGAACCCAAGCTATTCCAGGACAAGTAGAAAATTGGTGACTGTGCTCTGTTCTCATGAGTTTGCTATTCCTCTTTTCTGATGCTCCACATCCTGACAAATGTTCATCTCATCCAAAAAAAACCTCCCATCCATTGTAATTTGTCCGTTCATTCTTTGTGTGGTAACTTTGTTACTCCCTGTGGAATATGAACCACTCTGTTGCTTAATAAGAGATCCTAGTGGGAGTGATAACTATAAGAACATCCAAATGGCAGTGGCCAAGTCTCAGAGGCCACCATTTTTGTAATACTGCTGCCTCAAAATATACTGACACCCCTGAAGGCCCCTACAAGTTCAGCATTGGGGAAATAACACAGAGATTCATTTATTTTGATCACTTCTAATTGGTAACCAACGTGATCTTTGGGGTGGGTAGCACCTAGGTCCATGTAGGGCCTTAAAATATAACTGGTACACACATCAAAATGAACCCTCAATTTAATTAGGACTCTAGAACACCACAAGAGCGCTTCTTGGAAGGGTTCCATTAGGGGAGAGAGTATAGGCTGGGAAAGGGACCATCTGAAGTATGGCCAAGTGGAGGAAGGAACTCTTCATCTGGTAGCTTCCTAAGCTAGCAAATTATTCTGGCTAAGTAGGCACTAAAACCTCTTCCTAGGATCACAGGATCATAACTTGAGAATGGAGAAAGACTTCAGAGTCCATTCAGTCTAAGCCCATCACTTTTTAGTTGAGGAAAGTGAAGCCCACGTTGGTTAAGTGACTGTTTTTGAGGGCACTGGTAAGCATTGTAAGTTGGACTTGATCTAACCAACTGAGTAATTAATAAGCATCAATTATACACACCTGTGTGGCAGACACTGGGATCACAAAGACAAAAAACCAAATAGTCATGGACCTCAAGGAACTTTTCTTCTTCTGAGGGAAATGATATGTTTATATATATATGATACACACATATGTATGTGTGTATGTATATGTATATGTGTGTATATATGTATATGTATATGTATATGTATATGTATATGTATATGTATATGTATATATGTATATGTATATGTATATGTATATGTATACATATGGCAAAATACAAAACGGCACGTTAGGGTCCCCTGACTTTCTTATTAACCCAAGGGTTCTCTCACACACACACACCCCCAAGCATTTTTTTTTTTCATTTCAACCATGCCGTGCTGGCTGATTCTATGATGCTAAAGAACTGAAAGTACTTTCAGTGACCCTGCTAAATGTCAGTAACTTGGGTCAGAGCCCTGGTTGCCCAGTTCTACTTACAGGTTGGGGAAGAGAGTGGGAAGCAACCAGCACGACCATCTTTTTTTTCCTCATCAAGACTAGGAATGAATGCCATACCCCATGGCTCTCTCCTCTCATTTTCAGTGGTTTCACACCCCAATTGTGTATTCTCTTGTAAATGTCTACATTGAGATTTTGATGACTATTGTCACTTCAGGGGACAGATCTCAGTGGGAGCCTGGAGCAGGGAGAGGCAAAGATGTCATCAGCCACTTGCCTTTTCGAAATGGCAGATAATTTATCGGGAAAACAACTAACTTGGCTGTGTTTGGCAAAAAGATTTCTTTTTTTCGGCTAGAAGTGCTGCAAGCATCTATTTCAAAAACTGGAACTGGCACAGTTTCTATAATAAAAACAGAGCTGCTGTGAGAAAGAAATGTTTATCCCCACAAGTGATTTGTTCAGTCATGTCTGACTCTTTGTGACCCCATTTGGGGTTTTCTTGGCAAAGATACTGAAGTGCTTCTCTATTTCCTTCTCCAGCTCATTTTACAGATGACAAACTGAGGCAAGCAGGGTTAAGTGACATGCCCAGGGTCACATAGCTAGTAAATATCTGAGGCCAGATTTGAACCCAGGAAGATGAGTCTTCCTGACTGCAGGACCAGCACTTTATCCACTGAACCACATAGCTGCCCTGCAAATTCTGGTAACGAATATGTACCTAAGCTAACTGGGAAGGATGTCATTCTCCTTAAATTGCTTCTATGACAATTTGATGTTTTCTCCTGGACTGGTAATTTTTTAAAACAACATCAGTTATGTTCTTTTATAATTTGCCAGTGATTTTTTTTTTTGGAAATTTGGATAGTTAGAACATCTGCCAACAGAGCCAGAACTAAAAAGAGACCAAATAGATGTACAGAGGCAGGGTTTGACTTCAAAAGATCCCCATTACAAAGCATCCCAGTCACCCCTTCCATTCCATAATCATAATCGTAATTTCAAGGGAGGATGTTGCTAATGCAGACTCTGGTTTCTTGTCTTTACAGCCCCCACTGAGCCCTTGCTGTGTAAATTCGCAGATGGAGGGCAGAAAAAGCGTCAGAATCAAGGGAAATACACACAGAACGGAAGGCCCTGGCCAAGGGAAGGAGAGGTGAGTGGAGATGGGGGATGGATCTCTGGGCAAGACTTTGGCAGGAGCCACCTTGCCGATCAGCATGGCAGACTCTGGGGACCATGATCAAATCAGGTATTATGGAAAATAAGGCTTCAAAGAGGGTGAAGGAGCCTGCGATGTTAATACATTCAGGATAAAATTACATTAGGAGAATTTTAGGGCCTTAGAATGAGGCTCAGTTCTGCCGCACAGTGAACCCTCTGTCTCCAACCAGACCTTGGTTCAGTGAGCATGGACCAAGAGTTAATCAGCAGGGGATTATCCTGAGATGGGGTAAGTTTGTGAAATAAGAGGATAGTGGTTGGCAGGAAGTATCTTCAGCTGAAGTCAGTAATGGGCTCACGCTTTCTTTCTAGTTTGGATTATTTATTTATATATGGAAATTATACCTAAGTTTATTTAGTGAGAGAATGATAACACTCATGTTTTCTGCATCTCCCTTTGATGGATGTTGAGAGGCATTCTGTATTTCCACCTTCGTATGTATGAAGATACATACACAGAGAGATAATATTGTGTCATGGAATAGAGGGTCTATCTCAAAATTAAGAAGGCTTGTGTTCAAGTCTGAGCTAAGATGCTTGCTCACTTTGTGACCCTAGGCAAGTCACTTAACTCCTCAGTGTGGTAGGTGATTGTCTAAAACTCTTGGGAGGGTACCGATTCATTACCCTCTGCCTCATGAGGGAATGCCCTCATTGTGACTTTCTGATACTAATAAAATCAAGGGTCTAGTTGAACACACATGCACATACACACTTACTCATATAATAAACACATACAAACATACATACATATAAATAGGTAAAGAGATGATAGGCATAAGGATACACAGATAGATCCATGCAAATTATTACATGTTTTGTTGATAGGCAAGGGAAATGATAGTACATATGTGTGTAAGTCTATATATATGGATCTATATTTGTATGTATTATCTATTTTTATATATACATATACAAATAGAATATATAATACATAGAAATACATATATGTGTGTTCATATATGTACATATCTGTATACATATGTATAGTTTAATATGCATGCATACATATATAGATAGAACATACATTATATAGATATACACAAATATGTTTATTTACCTATCTGTGTATATCTATATATGTGTGTATCTATATATAGGTAGATAAAATATATAACATATAGGTATATGCATGTATATGTGTTTGTATACTTCTATATCTAAACATATAGATATGTGTATGTGTATCTATATATTTATATATACGTGTGTGTATACATATATGAATAGAATACATAATATATAGATATACACACCTATATGTGTATTTATATACATATGTGTATATTTATAATTATGTATGTATGTGTCTATATCTGTATTTTATTTATTCAATCTATATGTACATATATATAGATGCAGACATATACAATATATACACATGTACAATACAGATATGTACATGTTTTATATCTATATGTTCATATATACATAGATAGACATATGCATGTATGTGTATATAGATAGATATAACACAATCCATCATGCTGCTCATGAATCTCTCTATTCCTCTTGAGGGGATAAAGGGATAAAAGCGTTTGCACCATTTTTATGTATAGTGAAAACAACAATAACAATAACTGATATTTAATAATAGCTAGCATTTGTTTAGCACTTTGAGGTTTGCAAAATACCTTACAATAGCTCCTTTCGTTTATATATTATTTTTATAGTATGTTAAAGCTTGCAAAACACCTTACCTCCATGGCCTCATTTGAACCTCTCAACAGCCCTGTGATTTAGGGACTTCAGGACCTGTTATGCACGCATTACAGGTGGTGTAAAGGTCTTGGAACCTTGCCATCGCCTTACTTCTCTTTCTGGAAACTAAGTACTCTCAGGCCTTTCCATCTGCCATGAACTAAACACAAATCCTTCTTTGCAAGCCCCTTCCCTTGTTCAGAACTAGGAAAGAGCTAAACTACCCACTTCCCTTGCCATGATCTTTTAGGCTTTGTTTCCCCCGTTTTGAACATTAGTTTTTTGGAAAGCAGAAATTATCCAGATTTTCTATTTGCTTTAAGCACAATTAGCATAGTGCCTTGTACAAAGTTGACATTTCTTTACCTGTTTTCCCACTCTATTCCATGGTGGATATGAAAAAAGATGAGCTGAAATGCCCACGATCACACCCCTAGTGGGTTTCAGAGGCAATATTCAAACCTGGGTCTCCTTGTGCCGAGACCATTGGGCCAAGTTCATTGAAGCAATGGTCCAAGACAATTTTGTAAAAGGTTCTCTGTTGTAATCATCCCTAAAATCAAGGTTTGTGCTATGCTTTTACTTTATTAACAACAACAGCACTCATTTGAAATCATTAATCATAGACAAGGAATACTGTTCTATGCCAATACTTGGCATTGCCATTTAATCCTAGATGAAGATTTCATAAAGAAAGGAAGAATTTCAGAATTTTTCTCAGTAAAACTATTCTTAACTCCCCATGAACAGTGCTGGTTTTAAAAGTGGTTTCATGCACGTCTCTATTCCCCTCATACAAGCACATAGCTGTGTTTAGTGAGCTGATATTCTGAGAGACATTACACTACATGTGGACAATAATGTAGCCACTGAGTGTCTAAAGCAAATTTAAAAAGCCTATTGGAAGCTTGCAATTTGTTCCCATTTTAGAATGGTGGTGTGTGCTAAGTTCCAAACAAAATGTCCTGTTTATTTAAAGCACCCAGGCCAAGCAGTGCAGCAGTGACATTCACGGGAGACGCTGCAGTTGCTAAAGAAGACTCGTTACCATGTGCTATGCCAATGACCCAAGCGTTAGAAGTTTTGTTTTGAAATATTACAGCTTAGTTGGGTCAAGAACCTACTGCCGGGAAGCATCTCAAGGAGGACTCAATATAAGAGTCCCTAAACATACATTCATGTAGCTAAGCAATAATGACATGGCCCTCTGACATACACAGAGAACCTTGGGATTTGGGTTCAGAGAATGATCAATTCCATATGTTCTTACTATCAAGAAAAATGGGAACAATAATATCTACAGAATGTACATCGTAAGATTATTCTAAGGATCAAATAGGATTGTGTATGAAAGTGTTTTGCAAATCTTAAAGTTCTGTGTAAATAGTTGTTATTATATTTTTATTATTATCGTGCACCGTCCTTATCATGCCCTTGGCCTGGGACAGGGGGAGGGGAAGACCAAGTCTCTGAGCAATTTCTGCCTTTTCACTTGACCTTTTAACAAGTTCAGTGTGGTGTTAATTAATTTCATCTTAAGCTACTATCCCTATACTTGCTGTGAGTATTTCAAACGTATTGACTCTATTGATCAGGTAATTGAAGAACACGATTATTCAATTTTAATTGATTTCCAATTACAGCCATGCCTTATTAACTTGTTCAGAACTAAGAAAGAGCTAACCTACCACTTACCTTGCCACTGTCTTTTAGACTTTGCTAAGCAAGTTGGATAAAGGAGAGATTAGAGAAAATGTCTAAACTCCTAATGAAAATATGTTCTTTTCAAGCATGCTCAAGCAATTTTGGCACATTCATTATTCTATAATTAATCGGCATACTTATCTGACACCATTCATTCTGAGTCATTAAACTGACTTTCAAGTATATGATTTTCATGATCATAGGGTTTGAGAATTGGAAAAAAACTTAGCAGTCTAGAGCTGGAAGGTGCCTCAGAGGCCATTTAGCACAATGCTCTCATTTTTCAGATGAACAAATTGAAGCCCAGGGAGGTTAAATAAATTGTCAAAGGAGTCACAGGTAGTAAATATGCAACTAGTACTATCTAGTTCTAGTTCTATCTAGTTCTTTGGAAGCCCTTCCCCAGCCTCCCTGACCTGTGGCCATCAAAACTCTCCTGGAACATATCTGGTGATGGAGAAATCTACATCCCTTTTCAAAGCAACCCATTCTATATTTCAAGAGTTCTATTTATTCAAGCATGACCTACACTCAACCAGAAGCTACGGGCCCATTGGCCCTGGTTCTTCCCTGTGGAGCCATACAGAATAAATCACATCTTTCTCTTACTTAAAAACCCTTAAAATACTTAGACAAGTGTCATTTATCCCATAATTCTTATTTTCTATCGGCTCAACATCCCCAATTTCTTTAACTGGTTCTTCTGACATGATTTTAATGATCCTTACCAACTCAACTGAATTACCTTTCTATGGACTAATTATGTACACACACATAAACATATTCATATATATATATATATATATATATGTATATACATGTGTTGTATATACACATACATATATTATTATATAATGATGTGTGTTCCTATATTATATATTCAGGTGTGTTCATTGGTTTGGTCACAAAAAATGTTACTTTTACAAAGGAACAGATGAGGAAACTGAGTCCAGAGAAGTGAAGTCACTTGCCCAAGGATCCACAATTAGTAATCATGTGATCTAGGACTTGACTTAGATGTCATGACTAAATGAATTTTTAATTCCATTATACCATATTTCCAAACATAAGCCATCTATGACTCAGAGGGTCTTCATGAGTTGCTATGGCATAAAAAGTCATGATGAGGGGAGGCAGCTTGGTGGGAGTGGATAGCAGGCTGCCATCATGGATTACAACACCTGCCTCTAATATGTGATGGCCATATGACCCTGGGCAAGTCATATATTGCTCCAGACAGTTCTCCAAGATTGTAATTGAGCAGGTGTTGATATGCATTGGTAGAGGGAAGTTTTATTTTTCCTTCCAGAGTTCCCTGTAACAATGGAAGAACTAGTCCAGCCCTAAAACAATAACACTCCTTACCTAGTGGACAAACTTCTGGAAAGAAACCTCTCCAAAACTTGGTAGGCTGGTCCTTGTCATACAGAACTGAAGTCTTTCCACCATGGTAAGCACCTGTACGCCAGTGGCTTAGCATAAGAATCCATTGTGGCAGCATGAAAAGGCCATTGAGTCTGAAGGCAG